ATTGTACGATCCGAGCTAAAGCGTATCCGTCTGATTTATCTGGAAGCCAACAAAATTTTTGGGTCGACTGCATTTGAAATCAATTATATCAACCTCAGAAATGCGTTCATAATTTTGAAAAAACGCCACCATGCGCTTCATTCAAACAAACCTCAAGGTTATGTTGAAAGTTGGCATTCAAAGCACCTTGGCATGTGATTTATGCAGACAACGGAATAAAATGTCCTTTTGTGTTCTTCTTTTAAAGTATTTGAGGACATGATTCTTTAGGTAGGTATCTGAGTTTCTGGATTTCTAACTGACAAAATTCGATTGTTGAATGACTACACTCTGTCAACAGGTTGCGAAGATTTCGAACGGGTTTGCTTGAAAATCAATAAATCCTATTATATGTGTGCTCTTTATGAAGTGTCCTAAATTGTCCTGTGATATGGGCCCATGAGCTCTTGAGTGTGCTTATATATACATTGTTATATTTTGTTGAGTGTGTCGGCAGCCACTGGCTCTCCGTTGTTACTCTAGAAACGTTGGTTATCGTCGAGCTGTCGTGTGGTTGCATCCAAATTCACTTTGAATTTTTTTATTTGCGTTCCTTTTGCACCACTGAATCTTATTTTATTGCTTTATCGATTAGTTAACCTTTGTTCATCTTTTGTGATTATTGTCCTTTCTCCTTCACCGCTCGCATCTCATATGTTTTATGCGTCTAACATTTGCCCTTGGTACTATAATTCAAATTTATTGAGTTTGGTACCCCTTGACAGAAGATAAACAAACTCGTAACACACCTCTGATTGCCGAATATATCTCCTGACTGACAACCGACTTCGAGTGTGGGATTATTGCGATATATCACTCAGCAACAAAACTGCACTAAACCATCACGCTTTAAGAAGTAAGAAGACTTAAGCATTCTTCAAAAGATATCTTCACATGATCTGGTGAAAAAAACAGGACAATCTAAAGCATGTTTAGTTTAGGTCTTTCACAACGAAATGCAATTTCTCCTAACTGAGGCCTACCGAAAATCTATAAAGAGAAAGGCTAGCATCAACCTTCATCTTGACTTGGAACAAGATAACGCGATTTATATGACAATTCCTTGTGCATTAAAGTCTTAAAATGCGTCTCATCCACTTATTCCAAACGCAGTCAGTCGGGGAAGCAAGTTTACCCAAAGTATAATATGCCTAATCGCACTGGCAAGTCAACAGACTAACTCGCAGTTTACTTCTGCAATAACAACATTAGCAGAGATTGCCTTGATAATGATGAGGCTTTTATAAGTTTCATCTCACCCAGACCGATGCACGCCTTCACAACAAAAATGGTTAATTACATCTGGTCGAATGTTACCCTGCACAGTCTTATTGGCAAACTCGCACCCAAATAAAATGGACAGTGCGTAATGTTACCGCTCATAGTTTATTCTCGAAGTTCGATGAACTTCAAATAGAAGAAGCCAACTTGTCTCCTAATGTAATAGCAATAACAGAAATATGGCTGTCGCAGAGAATCAGTGATTCCGAAGTAGCACTATCCGGTTACCATTTATTTAGGCGAGAATGGGGGGAACGCCAGGGTGAAGGATTTGCTATGTATGTAAAGAGAGACTTAACTGTGTGCAAGAGGACTGAAAAAAAATCACCGATGGTATAGAAGCTCTTTGGCTGACATTTAAGGCAAGAGCGTCGCAGCCTCTGGAAGCTCTGACTGCTTACCGACAACCGCAGACAGACAAGGATGCGTATGCGTGTTTGCTGGAGGGCATAAAGATGATAGGCAGTAAACATGGTGTTGTACTCATGGGAGGATTTAATGCAACCAACCAGAGCAAGAGAATGGCAAATAGACTGGGTTTTCTTTCCCCAGGAACGTAACTGTGGACTGGAAGCAATTTAAGAAGCGGTTCTTGCATCTAAAGCAAAGTCACTGTTCGCTTTCAGTGCCCAAGACATCCAACCAACTGCAATGGCTGACAAGGGATCTAAAAAGAGAAATCAATAAGAAAGGAAGAAGTTTTGTGGGGAAAAAGCAATGAGGCTTTCAAAACGTAGAACATCCAGCGGAACAAGTTAAATATTTTGAATTCCAAAAGGTGGCAGAATTTTGATGGTGATTTGCTACATGGAGCAGTCAAAAATCCTACAGCTTTCTGCAGCTGCTCAAGAAAAAGCAGATATTTCAGGAACTCGATTCTTGTTATAAAAATGAGATTCTCGAGTTATCTGACTGTAAAAAGGAAGCAGTACATTTTTCTGAGTTCTTTCGGTCGGTCAGAGAAACTTTACTCATCACACCTAGTGACGAGATCGCGGGGTCGCCAATAATTCGGAAAATTCTATTTAGAGAAGAAACGATTTTAAAGAACTAAAATGCTTGAAGAAGTCTGAATCTCCCGGTCTAGATGAGATTTCAGCAAAACTGCTCCAAAAACTTGCTATAGGGCTGGATAAACCGTTGGTCACTCTGTGCCAACAATCATTCCGTACTGGACGTCTTCCCCCAGATTGGAAAATAGTCCACATTACACCGCTTTATAAAGGTGGTAGTCCTGCATTTGCGGAGTCTGATTCCCATATGCTGCAACGTACTGGAGAAGATACTCGAAGAGGCATTGGTTACATTGTGAAACCCACAATCTCAGACCCAATCTGCGCATGTCTTACATAATCCTACGGTTACCTATGATTAAGGATTTTCGGCAGAACCCAAACCGCCAGCACAAATGTCATCAATGCAAAAGTCACCGTACATGCAGCTTACATTGATTTCTGGAAAGCCTTCGCCAGTGTTCTAAACCAACGAATTTTGCAGAAGTTGAGAGTGATGGGGATCGAGGTAAGCTTCTTACGTGGATTGAAAATTTCCTCACTGGTCGTTCCCAAGTCTGTGTGTAGGATGACAACGATCAAGACCGACAGTCATCGGAAGGGTCACAGTCCTTCAAGGGTCAGTGTCCAGACCGATCATCTTTCCCTTGTTGATTGTCTTGCCTGATTGTGTAAAACAATTAAACTGTGAGCGTGCCGTGCTTGCAGATGATGTAGAAATATGAAAGGCCAACAAGAGTGTTACCCATGAAGATGACGGCCAGGAATCTCTTTTTTGATTAAACGATTGGTCAGGCAGATGGCTCCCGTCCTTCAATTCAAACAGATGTACTCTGTTGCGTCTAGGAAATCGGAAACCGAGCCCTGATGTACGTTCCTACTATCTCAGCGGAAACCCAACTTCAAGAAACAGAAATGCAAAAAGATCTCGGCATCTGGATGACAGACAACCTGAAGTCTTCTACACAATCTTGTAAGGCGACTAGAGCTGTAATTTCGGTGTTGTACACATTAAGCGGACATTCACTCATGTTGATGAGGACTGCTTCTCGAAAATCTTCGGTTCCTTCATTAGGCCACATCTCAAATACGTGAATCAAGCCTGGAGACCGTATATGCGTCAGGATTATAACGTGCTCGAAAGGATGCAGCACCGGGGCACAAAATTATCAAGAGGCCAAGAGTCACTAGCATAAAAGATCCGCCTAAATGACTTTAATCTCTATCCACTTAATTATATGCAATTACGCGAAGATTTGATACAAATCTTCCGTATCTTGCGCGGCTTGGACTGCGCTCTCATGTGTAACGATTTTCTCCAACTCACTACTACAACTAACCTCCGGAGATATCCCTTCAAACTGTATGTTTTGAAGGCACCGAAGATGTGCTTTACAAATAAACTTTATTATTATGCGCCCCAGGAACGACTAGATATGAGGAAGAACTTTTTCTCTACTCGCGTCATGGACACGTGGAATAACATAGCTGTTGTGTCCCAATCTGTGGAAATATCCAAACACCGACTTGATATTCATAGGTTGCAGCACAACGTGAACTATGCGGCTTATTAACCTTGAAACACCAATGCACGATGTGACTCTGTCTACATCTACCAGAATAACAATTTTACAATATTTCTAATTCTTGAGATTTTGATGTGACAAATAGAAAGTTCAAAGGCGCAAGCCTAATTTTCCTCTAATATACTGACTGACTGAATTGCTGTCGTCATCTCCTGCTCCAACGTCCTGTGCATTGCAATCCGACTACTCTTTTTCGGTAGGTTTTCGGCAGTTGCGTACCTTGGGTCATCTTTGCATTTGAATTTCGCCCACATTTGAACCTCCAGTTAACTTCAGTTGAGTAACAGTGGAACAAGCAGAATAATTGCATAACGTGCTCACCTAGCCATGTGATAATAAGGAATTCAGAGAGAAGGAAAGATCTTTGATGACTGTTCCTCCTAATAAGTGTACCTTATACCGGAATATGCGATACAAGTCAACCCTATGTAGATAAATGCAAAATGCTACGTGGCCTTTCAACTTTCCTCCCTATGTCGACCCACAACGGACTGTTGACGATCATTGCGGGTACTTCCCTTTTCACCATCTTGTTGGTGAACTCTGCAATCAGCAAGGAGGTACCATGGGCGCACGTTCGACACTTAAGTGATATTCTCTTGACATCTACGTTCCCCCTCGTTCCGACCCTATGCGTACTGATGTTGCCCACTTTGTCTCGCATTCCCGCTGGCTGTTCCTTAGCTAGCCCTAGGCTATACGCTGGCGTAAGCTAACCCCTGCCAATACATGACGTCTCTCACGACCAAAAGCTTTTCGAACATCCACATGTTATCATCTGTATGCGGGTCCTATCTCACGCGTATATTTTCCTCCCATAAG